CCCTAAAGCCCTAAAAACCCCAAAACCATTCTAAAGATCTCAAAATCCTCAACCCAAAATCCCTAAAGTCAGAAAGCCCTCACCGATGCACCTCCGCTTTGAGACTGCTCGAGAGTCGATCCGCGGCCTTTCTCAGGGAGCCCGGCGTCTTCGCCTTGCAGCTCCCCGATGGTCCCTTCAATAGGGTTCCTGAAAGCTTTAGGGTTTAGGGTTTAAGGTTTAGGGTTTAGGGTTTCGGCTTTAGGGTATCCTTAAACCCTAAACCCTAAACCTTAAAACCCTAAACCCCTCTAAAAGGCTCCTTTAAGGGCTCCTCACTGAGTGTCGGGGTTCTTTTAGGTCGTTTCATAGGATTTTTTCTCGGGTTCCTTCAAGGGCTGCTTGAAGGGTTCTGCAGGGGTACTGTAGGGGTTTAGGGTTTAGGGCAACCTACGGGGTTCTTTGCCAAAAACTACCTGGGCAATGTTACTCGATCTCTGTTGCACGCGACCCCTACAAGACCCCACGGTGTTGTTGGAGAGTTGGAGGTCTGACGCCGCGGGCGCCCCCCACCCACAATGCCTGGTACGCGTGATTGTTTGAGATCTTTGCGGAGGAATTTACGTATCCTAAACCATAAGCAGCAGCCTTATATAGTTTAAGGTGCATTCCTCAAGTAAAGGATCTGGGCAGTGTAAATCTCGTTCATGAATCCGCTCCGTGACTAAGGATACACAGACCTGAAGGCGAAGGCCTAAACCCTAAACCCTAAACCCAAGAAAGGGCTTCATCAAACAGGGCTCTTCGTTAGGGGTTTCAAGGTTTGGGAACTAGCTTCCGGAAGCTTAAACAACCCTTATCGAGCCCTTAAAGGGCACTTAAAGAAGCCTTAAACGAACCCTTAAAGTACCAACACTATTTTGGGGGTTCCTTGATCCCCACAACCCTATTCTATTTATACAGGCCCCTATATCACAGAACCCTTATAGCAACCCTTATTAGAGCCGTTTTAAAGGAACCCTACCCCAAAAACCCTAATCTAACTATTGAGGCCCCTAAATTGTGTCTTCGCTGGGCTTCCCGTTCCCTTCGACCCTAGCCCAAAGCCCATAATGAGGATTTAGGATTTAGGGTTTGGGGAAAAGGGTTTAGGGTTTGGGGGTGAGGGTTTAGGGGCTTAGGGTTTTGGGTTAGGGGCCTCTGTACGTTCTGCATCGGGGTAGGATCACAAAGTGCCTCCACATGGGTTCCACTAGGTCGCTGCTGCAGGATGTTTGAAAATGTTCGTGGATGTCTGACGATGTACTTCAGTGAGCCTTCTTCATCGAAGTAATGGTCACGGCCGATAGCAGCAGTACATCAACTATCACATTCTACCCTCCTAAACCCAACACCCTAAACCCGATAAGCCCTAATATCAGCTACCAGAAGGGCGCACGTAGCCTGACCCCTGTTGGAATTCTGTGCCCCTTCTTTCAGCGGCCTTACTAGCCCTTCTGTTTTTGATATGGACTGTAGCCACCTGTACAACCCCAAATCACCTACCCAATCCCATAATAAACATCTTCTAGACGCCCAATCAAACCCTACAGAACTGATGCTCTACGCCCCCGGAACCCTAAACTACCCGAAACCCTCAACCCTAAACCCTAAACTAGGCCCTTAACCCTAAACCCTAAACCCCTAAACAACCCTAAACCCCGAAACCGTCGGGCTTCCGACAGAGAGGGTCAGCAGCTGGAAGCCCAGGGGCCTCGTGCAAAGGTGTTAATGTGGGGGCCTTATAATTAGAATAGGGTTTTGGGGGCTCTTTATTATAGATATAGGCGTTTTGTTTTTTTTTTTTTTTGGGGGGGGGTCTTTATTTAAATATAGTTTTGGGGGTTCTTTCTTTACTGTAACTAAAGAAGTATATACCCCCCAAACCCTACTCTAATTATTGGGTTGATGCAGCGTTTTGGGGTTCAAGGTGATCGCGGGCAGGGCTTCAGCGTCCAGTGCTTTTGGGTCTCAGCTCTTGCTCCAAGCATCCTTCCACTCGGATCAGCGAGAAATGAAAAGCCTTACAATCCGGTCTGATAGCCGACGTCAAGGCCGCGTTTATCAGTACCCGGCGCCCTGAAGCCTGCTGCTCTGTGGCTTCGGGCCTAGCATGTCAGTTCTAATTAAGGCTTCTGTTCTTCAAGTAAGGGCTGTCATCACCGTCATGAAAATCGCCAGTGTCGTCACTAGGCTACTCTCTTTGAGCCTCGGAAACATGGTCCTTAAGTAGATCCTCTTGAACCCGGAAAAAGCAGATTCGAACCACGTGTCAGCATTCAGGATTTAGGATGAGAACTTAAGCCCGAAACACCTTCCAGCATTGCCTCTTGGGGCAGGTTTTAGGGTTTAGGGCTCAGGGTTTAGGGTTTAGGATTTTAGGGCAGCCTTCAAACCAAGCCGACGGCTTAAGCTTTGTAACGTAGGCCCCTGGTTGATAAGCCCCCTTTCTCTCAGGGCCCTAACATTAGGATACCTACCATAGCCATAATCCCTCTAAGGGGGAGGGGGATTGTGTCGAGTCTCAGGTCTTCGGAAAGCCAGCAGGTCGCAACCCAAATTCCGAAGTCTACTGCCCTAAACCCTATGCTCTGAACGGTTTAGGGTTTAGGGTTTAGGGTTTAGGGTTTAGGGCTATGCTCTGAACCCTAAACCCTAAAGCCTAAGCTCTACATAATCTAGCATCTCTGAACCCCAAATCCGAGTCTGCTCACCCGATCTGGAACCCTAGGCAGAGCGGGGCTTAATGTAGGGGCCTTAGCAATTAGAATAGGGTTTTTGGGGCAGGGTTCCTTTAAAAGGGTTACTATGGTTCTCTGATGTTGGGGCCTTAATAATTAGAATAGGGTTTTGGGCTCCTTCATAGTATAACTGTAGTAAGGAACCCTAAGGAACACTACTTGGAGGATTTTGGGACTTAGTAAGTAGGGTTATAAGTACCTTCATTGGGGTTATAAGTAATTACAAGCATACCTACCTTATTTATAACCTCAGTTACTAAGTCCCATGATCTTTGAAGTAGTGGTAATTATTGAAACCTAGGTAGAATAGGGTTTGGGGCTCCTTCATAGCATAATTATAGTAAGGAACTCCTAAACCCTAAACCCTAAACCCTAAGGAATACTGGTGGAAATTATTGAGGCTTCTACATTCGCGCTGTTGGGCTTGGAAAACGGTTGAGCCTTGGGGTTCGGAAGGCAAGCCCAATCAAGAAAGAATGTAGGGGCCTAAAAAAATACCTACACTATCTCTCGTATTATAATTTTAGAATCATAGTATAATGGGCCCCAAAACTTTATTCTAATTATTCAGGCCCCTCTATTAAGCCTATATTGTAGTTATAGTAGAATGCGCCCCAAACCCCTATTACGCCAGCATTTCTCTCAGTCCCTCCCGGGTTTGCGACTTCTTTGCCGTGCTGTAGATGTCCACGGTAGGATTGTTCACCTCGAATCGAAGGGGTTTAAGGTTTAAGGTTTAGGGTTGAGGGAAGGTTCTGGGTTTGACATAGAAGTATTTTCCCCACCTACTTAGGGTAGGTTACCGGCAGTCCAAGACGCCGTGACTACGTTGTCTCAAGTGCATGTTCTTGAAAGGAGACGATCACATTGACTTCTCTGTATGCCCTGCGCCCGCAACCCCAAACACCAGAATGCGAAATCCTTGACTTCGTCCTCCCCTGCTCCTACAAGCCCCTTAGCTTGACTAAGAAATATAACTTAGACCATTGTTTTAAGGTGCATTCCTTATTTCAGGTCCCAGCCCCCCAAAAATCCCCCGCTCATCATCTTGATATCGGTGGTGATGGCGATGACGATAAAGATGATGATGACGATGATGACAATGATTATGAATTATGACAGCACTGATGACGGGATGAATCGGAAAAGGCTGCCGCGCCGGGACCTTTCTCTTCAGACCTTTTCTCGGCCCACGAACCTCTACGTTGAGGGTTTAGGGTTTAGGGTTTGGGGTTGAGGGTTTAGGGTTTAGGTCCCAACCTTCAAAATCATCAGCCCGAACAGCGTGTTCGCCTTCTCTCATAACACTGGCGAAAGCCAGCCCGGCTTCACAGAGTAAGTTCAGGGTAGCTTTGTTGGGGGCTGGTGCCTGGGTGAAGGGGTTTTGGAGTCTCGGATCCTTTCAGCCATTCTTTTTAGGGTTTAGGGTTCAGGGTTTAGGGTTTAGGGTTCAGGGCTTTGGGTTACTATATGAAGGGGCGCTGGATCGCGCCGGAACGCGTGGACATTTCCGAGCAGACAGAGCAAGATCCCCTGTCCCTAGCGAACACTGCGGCGTAAGACACCTTTTAGGCTCTACCGGGGACTCTGATTAGCAACAGCTTTATGGGCTCTAGCTACTTGTTAAGGGGTGATGGCTGCTAAACTCTAGGTAAAAGGAGTTACAGGTAAACCTTTATCTCCGAACCAAGAACACCATGAGGTTATAACTTGAGGTTTAAGATTGCCCGCACTAGCCCACCTGAAGGTTGTCCCAAAACAACCTTACTTGCAACCTGCTTCTTGAGTCCCTCCTCCTGCAGGTCTGGGATCCTCTTGCGGAGCTGAAAACTAAGGTTGAACCCATGGGCCGTTAACATGGGCCCTTAGGGGATTCTAGGGCCCCTTAAGGGTATAAATAGGGTATACCATAGGTATATTAGGGTCCCAGGGTTAAGGGCCCATACTATGGGCTCATGGGTTCTACCGTAAATGAAAACAAGTTTCCACACTGAGGTGTTGTGACGCTCCTTCGTGTGCTAGCATACACCAAGCTCCTGAGCAAGAACCATATACTACTCATTTCTGCACCGGGACTAGTACGCACTGGTACTAGTGCTGGTGCTGGTGGTAGTACATACCAGTACCAGTAGTACTTCTAGTGTTCGTACTGGTAGTGGTAGCAGCAGTAGCAGTCGCAGTAGAAGACGCAGTAGCAGTGGCAGTACCAGTAGAAGGCGCATTGGAAGTAGCAGTAGCAGTAGTAGCAGGAGCAGCACAGCAGCTGCTGCACAAAAGCACCCAGCACTTCACTGTTCAGCCCAGTGGCCTCTTCAAGAATGGTATGGGCGTTGGTGCCACCGATTCCAAAGGAGCTAACTCCTGGTTCAAGACTTTGGGGCCGAAACTCTAATGTAAGGGCCTCAATTATTACCTACACTATTCTGGGGGTTCCTTAGTATAATTATAGTATATCGGGCCCCAAAACCCTATTCTAATCATAAAGGCCCCTATATTAAGGCAATGTGCAACGTTCCCGCTGTTCGGGTGTTGAAATCTCGATAGCCTCAAGACCTAAGCCCTTACAGCCTGAACATCCGAAAGACCCCAACGGTTAAGGTTTAGGGTTTAAGGTTCAGGGTTTAGGGTTCAGGGTTCAGGTTTCAGGGTTCAGGGTTTAGGGTGTAGGGTTTAGGTTTTAGGGTTTAGGGTTTAGGGTTTTAGGGTTTAGCGAGCATATACCCTAAGGGTGTAAGGTCCCGACTGCTACCGTCCTTTGGTCCCCAACTTGCACCACCAAGTGGGAAATTGCTTCGGCAAGTTGGTACAAAACCCGGAATCCTAAATTAACGGTTGATCCCGGTTGATGATAGAAATCCTGCATTACCTCAAGGACCCTAAGCTATAGGAATTATGGTATATTCCTTGTTATGTGTAATACAGGATTTATATCATCAACCGTAGTTGTTACATGGACCGTAAACCCTAAACCCTATATCATAGTTGATACATGGGCCCTCAACCCTAAGTCCTAAACTCTAAACCTAGTTGATACATGGACCCTAAACCCTAAACCCTAAACTGTTTGGAGGACGCAAACCACATGGCCGCAACCGGCAGAGCAGCCTAACTCTCTTACACGGAGCGTCGGCCTGAGGATGTTTTAGGGTTTGAGGTCTAGGGATCTTAGTGTTTAGGGATTTAGGGTTTAGGGTTTAGGGATTTAGGGCTTAGGGATTTAGGGTTTAGGGTTTAAGTGATTTAGAGCTTTAGAGGTGTAGGGGTAGAAGTCTTCGGGTGCAGAATGCTCCGTCCTGCACGAAGAGGCTTCTTCTTGTTCCACTGGCAGACCTGCACAAATCTCAACATGTGGGGTTCAAGACTTCGCAGTCTGCCTTGCGTTGGTAGCGTGAGCAGCATGATTCAATAAGGATTACAACAGCAACAAACACAACCGCGGTAAAAGCATCAGGGCTTCATTGGCAGCATCACCCAGCAAGCACCAACAGCAGTGAAAAACAAAACCATCGCCGCCGATAAGCACCACCAGCGTCAGTATGACAAGCGAAACGAAAAAGAAACAAGGATCCTGCACCTCAGACTTTAAAACCTAATATACAAGCGCCTTATGAGCAAAAGTACAAGGCACAAAGAAAACCGTTGCAAACGCCTAGGGCGGAGAACGACGAACCCGACAAACCTAACATCAGACTAAGGATCACGATAGCAATCCCTTGAGTTTCTAACGCGCTGGTTTCGGGTCGTTGCACGTAGACCCGAAAGCCGTTCGGAGATTGGGACTTTGGAATCCAGGGGTAGCTCACTCATACTATTCGCAGTACCAATCTTATTCGAAGCAGTGGTAGTAATTCTTATAACCCTAAACCCTAAACTCTTCATAATATAGTTGTCATTATGTTTATGAGAGCCAAAAGCCGTGATACCCTAAACCGTTATGCCTTAAAGTTCTGTAGCCTTTGGCCTACAGTCACCTAGGTCGAAAGCGCTACAAGCACCTTAACACAGCGAGGAACGGCCGTCTGAATCCTTCTTGCTAGTAACTCCTAAACCCTAAACCCTAAACCCTAAGCCCCAACAGAACCCTGAAACCAATCAGTCTGCACCTACTTTCAATTGAGCCCGCCCACACTCTACTTGAAGGTCCACAGGTCGTTTGAAGTAAACCCTAAACCCTGAACCCTAAACCCTAAACCCTAAGGGCTACGATAGGGTTTCAGGAGGTAGTCGAGTGGGGCTTCTAACGGGGCTCAAAGGGGTTCATGGGGAGCTTTAAACGGCTCTTAACCATGCACAATTACGAAAAGTTGACACGTACCTTAACTGGGCTAACAGGTAATATAGGGTTTAGGGTTTAGGGGTTCTCAGTCTTTACAAATATGATCATAACTACTAGGTCCCATGATGCCCTCCCTAAGCCCTAGACCCTAAACCCTAAACCCTAAACCCTCGACGCCAGCGTTTTGAAAGGGCTCTTGGGAGGCTGGGCGTCCTAAAGAGCTCGGGATTTCTGGCCTGGGGGTTTAGAGTTTCGGGTTTAGGGTTGGGGGATTTAGGGTTTAGGGTTTTGGGTGCAGGGTTTAGGGTTTAGGGTTTAGGGTACATCCCTACCTAGACTCCAAAAGCATGTAGAATAATAGCCGTTTATGGGTGTTGGCCCATCATTTTACCTGCTTTTTGCGGGTTTGGGTAAACCCTAACCGATGTCAATATTACGGGGTATCCCAAACTGCCACCAAAGTGCACCTGGACTTGGTATTTAGGATCTCAGGAAGCCTAAACCCTACACCCCAAGCCGTGAAACCTGAACTCTACGCCCCGAACCCCGAACCCTGAACCCTAAAATCCGAAACCCCCAATAAACCCTCAACCTGGGGCGTTTTTCCTTCTTTCAGATGTTGTTCTAAACTCCACCTCCGAGTTCACGAAGAAGGGCGTGTTCTCCAAGTTGATCTTGGGGTTCAGCTGCTTGAAGTTCGCGGTGGGCGCCTCGGACGACTCGGGCTCCCGAGTGCCCTAAACCCTAAACCCTAAACCCTAAACCCTGAACCCTAAACCCTGAATCCTAAACCCTAAACCCTGAACCCTAAACCCTAAACCCTAAACCCTAAACCCTAAACAGTTTAGAGTACGCAAGGTTTGTAGAGTTCGGGGGTTAAGCGGTGTTGGGTTTAGGATATATACGGGCTGAAGGGTTAAGTCTTGGGGGTCCTTACTATAACTATGGTATAGTGGCCCCAAAACCCTATTGTAATGATTAAGGCCCCTACATCATAGAACCCTTATAATAACCCTTACAGAGCCCTTGAAAGGAACCCTTTAAGGATCCCTTTGAAGGAACCCTATTCCCTATATGAAGGCTCAGGGTTTCGCTACTTAGCATTTGCCATGGCTAGCTCCGAGGGCCAAAAATGATTTGCGGATCTGGAGGCTTCCACTGAGGGTTCCGGAATGGTTTAGGGTTTAGGGTTTAGGGTCCTTAAAGGGCTTCTTGGGTTCGTTTGAAAGGTTGTAAGGGCTCAGCGAGGACTCTATAGTAAGAGGTTTAGGGTTCAGTGCATATCTAGGTCTTTGTGATCTTCGTGTTTGGTAAGTCCTAGCAGAATGTGCTGAGCCGCCGGTGTCAGCAGCAACTGTCTGCTTTTCAAAGACATCTCCGCATCGGAATGTGTGGGCGTGGCCCGTGTCTCACAGCCAACGGTAGACTTTATCGGATTTGCCCGGAAGCACCGTGCCGCATGAATTCGCGAACCTTCGTGGCAAATCTTGTGCCCCTGGATGTTGAGGTCCAAGAAAAGGCGACTGCTCCCATGCCGTCGTCCAACTCCAGCATCAAGCTGAAGCTTTGCTACTGGATGTGGAGTTTCGGCTTTCGACGCCCGGAATAACTACAACGCCACTAGTTGGATACTTGGACCCTTAGGGTAAGGGAGAAGCCTGAACAAGCAGAGGCGGATTTGAGGGTTTGGCGGTTAGGGTCTTAGAGTTTAGGCTACGAGATTTATAAACATTAGAGTTCAGGGTTCAGGGTTTAGGGTTTAGGCTACAGGGTTTGGGGTTCAGGGTTCAGGGTTCAGGGTTTATGGTTTAGGGTTTAGGATGTAGGGTTTAGGGTTAAGGATGTAGGGTTTAGGGTTTAGGGTTGAGGAAGTGCGGTAGCCTTTGCCAGCCCCACACGCAAGCATCGACACGAAGCTGTAATCCCGAACCCTAAAGACGGCCCTTGGACGCCAAACCCCTAGAATCCTAGGAGCCCTAATGTAGGGGCCTCAATAATTTAAATAAGGTTATGGGGTACATTCTAGTAGAATCGTAAAAAGGAACCCCCAAAATGGTATAGGTGATTATTTCGGCGCCTATATTAAACTCTATGAAGACCAGAAAGTAAAGCTCAACTAACGCCTAAACCGTCGCAAGAAGGTGCAGCAAATCCTAAACCCTAAACCCCTAAACCCTCAACCCTCAACCCCTAATCCTAAACCCCTAAACCCCGAACACTAAACCCCTAAACCCTAAACCCTCAATACCAGGCAGCTAAGGGCCCTGCCAGGCTCCTCGCTCCCATCATTGCCAACGCCTTTCACTGACATTGACTTTGTAGCCTAAGAGTCCGCGGTTTAGGGTTTAGGGTTTAGGGTTGGGGTGTAGCGTTTAGGGTTTAGGGTTTTGGGGTCCGAGGTACCAAAGAATGAGGCATTTGGGTAGTTCTCCACATTAGGGTCCCTTTTTATATGGGTGCCGTCACTTTTTTGGAACTTAAACAGGGACCCTACTTTAGCGAACTGCCCATTTGGCTTCGGGATAGGCCACTGTAGCTGAGCACCCTGAATGTCCTAAAGACCACTGCTGGCGGACCTAATTCCCAAACCCCATAGTATAGGGGCCTTAGCAATTAGGATAGGGTTTTGGTGCCCATTATACTAGAAATAGAACAAGGAACCCCCAAAATCGTAGTGGTAATTATTGGCCCCTGCACTAATCCTTTGTGGGTTTCGAAATCCCCTCGAAAACGCTTGGACAACCCCGAAAGCACCCTTCGAGAACCCGGATATTATAGTTCCCTAAATAATTACCTACACTGTTGCGGGGGTTCCTTGTTATAATGGGCCCCAAGACCCTTGTGTAATCATTAAGGCCCCTACATTAGAAGACTTGAAGACACACGACTTTCTAGGACGTTCCCTGGCTTGGGAGACCAGGTTTGGGATTTAGGGTTCAGGATTCAGGATTTAGGGTTTAGGGTTAGGGTTTAGGGTTTAGGGTTTAGGGTTTAGGGCTTAGGGTTCTACCGGGCTTGCTATGTCGGTATGGGATTTGCCGCTCATGGGCCTGACCTGAACCCTTCTAAAATCCCTTTCAGCAATATAAGCCCTTCCAATCCTATAAGCCCCATGAAGCCGACAAGCCCAAATCTCTAAACCCAGAAAGCCCGAACAACACCTTAACCTAAACGCTTCACGAACACCTGAAACTAACTCTCCTAAGAAACTGAAGCCTTGACTAACCCTACAGCAAAACCCCCAAAGCCCTGCACACCCAAAGCCCAAAACCCCACTCAAACCTTAAGCTCTACTCATCAAACCCTAATCATCAAACCATAAGCCCTAGATCCTAAACCCCAA